CTAGTTGATGTTGACGATGCCTTTTTGTTGATATTATACATTGTTGTTGCTAATTGCGCAGTGTTATTGCTAGATATACGTTAAACGACGTATAAAAAGAACGTTGTGTTAAAACAGGAATAAAGATCCCAGAGATGTTCCCTTTATTTTATTTTTTTGCTTCAAATATATTTTGAAAGCCTAAAATCGGCGCACAATGGCTACGGAATAAATGGAAAATTAAATAAGCTCTATTTTATTTAATTTTTTTTTACACACTTTTACGCACTGCTTAAACCACTTAAATTTGAACTTATTTATTTGATTTTATTTAATTTTCTACATCGATTTTTTTTTTTGCGCGCGTGTAAGTGCCGACCTTTTATTTATTTATTTAATTTAACAATTTAAAGCAATTGGCTATAACTTGATTATTTCTTCTTTTACACCGATTTTATTATCCTCTGACTTTTTCCGCAATCGATTACAACGCAGCTACCGTACACAATTTCGCACTCTCAAGAGCCTAACCCTACCAACAACTCTCCACTGCACTGCTGTCTTGTCATCGCAATAAGCGCTATTGAAACGTAACGAAAGGTTGCGTGTTGCGGCCCCTTTTCATTAAATGTAATAAAAGCAATATACAAAAATTAACCCATCAAGAGGGAGGCTAGCAAGCAGACGGACCAGGTCGGCAAACATCAAAGTGACCAGGCGGCGTATACGCGCCGCCGTGAAGTCGAAAAAAAAATACATTGAAAAAATAACTATTTATGTACATACTTGGTAAAACAAAATGAAGCAATGAACTAGTCGGCGAATTCCCCAAAGAGGGTTAAGTGAAGCGGAGTTCAAACAGCCGTGGCGCAAAGTGTATGCGGAGCAGACAAGTACGCACACTTATTTATGTCTACATATACATACATACATTTATATGTATGTCTGTACTACATATACATTAGGGTGATCTTTAAAATCAAATGAACGATTTCTTTCAGTCTTACCCCTCAATCGGTAATACCACGGTTACATATATCACATATAAATTTTGGTACCGGTTGGAGTCGGTTAAGATGGCATCTGAAATTTTACCCTTGTGCGACACGCCTTAACTGACTTTTGGGTATTAGATGAAAAAAAGTTAATTTTAATTTTTTTCGTCTCCATAGAGGAATCTGAATTTGCACCCTGCACCTGGTTAAGACGTGCCTAACCGCCTAACCGCCTACAAAAATGTATTTGTGATAAATAAAAGTAAATTAAAAATAAAAAATTTAAATTTGCTTCCCACATTTAAGGATCACCCTAATATACATAGATTGCTAGAAATAAAAATGAACACAACAAATCGAAGATGTTGAAGATGATGATGAGTACGCTGAAAAATGATACAGTGGCCTCCAACGCGCCGTTCTCCTCCGCTGTAATGGTTACATAGGCGCAAAACTTGCTTGCGACTACAGAGCTGAGCCAGGGAAGGCAGTGGTGGAGGGTTGACGGCGCCTGCAGCGTAAACTGCATAGAGTGCCAAGGCAGCAAAGGTGCTTACGATGAACCGACCGAACGACGTTGATATCAACTGAGACGAAATTTTCACAATGCTACGCACATAAACGCGACTTAAAACAAAGGTAAAAAAAAATTTTGAAAAATATATGTATATGTAACAGACATAGGGAGTGGGACGCAACGGTATGCGACACGACGCGGTATACGCATATTATGCTCTCAAACTCTGTACTCATATGTACATTTGTATGTATGGATGTATGTATTTAGATATGGGTTGTTTGTGTATGCCATACACAGTCTGTCTCTTTGGGGAGCTAGTGGAGTCACTCACTCGCGCACGCACTTCAGTCTCCCAGCTGAGCAGTATAGCGAAATGCATAAACGAACGAAAAAAAGCTGCAAAAAGTAAAGCATAAAAAGAAATAACGCAACGACAGACGCATTGAACAATTGAAAATAATTATTTATTAATTAAACATTTATTTTTGCTTCGTTGCAAAATTTAACATCGATCAGCACTTTGAATGCAGCCATTTTGACACTTTGCTAGAGTATTGACAGCCGACCAAGAGAACGATCGACTGGCACTGGTATACTTTGTGACTATTTGACTTTTGTGGGCTGTGTGGAGTTGCGAGCGGGGTTGCGAGCGGGAAAGTCGTTGGCATTTGATTGCCTGCATGCAGAAGAAAAGTATGCACACACTACTAAATAGTGCGCCGGCGAGCGGTGAAGTTAACCGATTTTCATTCTCAACAACAACAACAACAGCAACACCAAAAATGCAGCCGACTTGTTTCTTTCTGTCTGGTGCAAGCTTGCACCGGCATTTTCACTGCATTAGTTCACTCGGCATTGCATTTGGCCATCAATTTGAAATTTTCCAGACTGTAGACGCACTCACGCATACATACATAAGTACATATGTACATATTTTTATTTTCTTTGCAAAATAACACAAACTTTTCAAAGCATTTTCATTCTCATTATTTTAATATTTTATCAACAAAGCTGGCAACTCGCTGCGCACTTAGTCGTTCTCACTAAAACACAAATATTTATTGTAATACACTGACTGACTGAATGGCGCTGGCAAAAACGGTAAAGAAGCCACAGACGGAAAAATTGACTATTATTGAATTTATACGGTGAATAGAAAAGTATGGATAACGTTGGCTTTGGCGACGGCGCCTCCTACGCTGCTTTTGCCCACACACGGCAACACTCCTAGTAGCTCTTTTTGCTCACACGCACAGCGTCTGCTGCTCACACACTTATGTACCTACATACATACATGTACTCAAATAGTGTAATAAGTAGTTAGTACGCGTTTCGTTTTACGCGTAATTTAATTATTAAATACTTTTCACGCGAATGAAATTGTATTTGCCACACAAATTTCCATTCATTTGTACTTCAACTTCACTTGCACTTTGCGCAGCTATCGGTTATTGGCATTTTTTTACCTTTTATGTACACTTGTATATTTTTTTTCTCCTGTTTTGTAATGGCTGTTTAATTTTTCGGTGCGTTTCTTCCGCACACAAATTTTCGATACGACCGCACCACGTCCAAATGTCGCAAACACTCAACGCGTTCAACTACGGCTGACTGCGTTATACCAGAATTTCCGATGGCCGCCAACGCTCAGTATGGCTGCTACATGCACACGTACACACGCTCATACACTCATGCATTTATACTCTTTATCATGCTCTATGCTTTGTGCACTCTTTCACCGTTAATTGCATTTCCAGCAGCGGCGCGCTCAGTTGCATGTGTGGATTTTGGAATTTTCCAGGTATTGTGTGCTTGTATGGGTGTGCCAGCGCGAGAGGGAGAGTTTAATGTGAATGCGTGTTAGTGCAATGGTATGCGTGTGGGATTTTGTGAATACCCAATTTGCCAAATGATTTCGTATCGCCGTCGTTTCCGACTCGACCGATGAGTAGCACAGTTCGCCGGCGAACTGCAAAAACGATATACTACTACCGATGCTCTAAATTTTTAACAAAAACCGTATTCGATTTCACTAGGCCGATATCGAATCGAATTCGATTCTATGGGTAAAAAATGAAGTCGGAACGACGCACAGTGGTTCAGCCCCATACAATTTTTGGAGAAAATTAGAAGGAGTATGGACATAAATCAAGAAAAAAAAAACGAAAAATAGGTGTTATCGGTTTATGTTAAAGCATACGTTCCATACGAAGCTAACCTCAAAAACGCCTTAAAAATTGCATTCAAAAGGCACAGATAATCGTAGGACTCCGAAAATTTCGTTCATATATTAACAATAATAGGGCACGTAAACATACAAAATATTAGCAAGAGCGATTTACTTTAACGCATACCTGCCATACAAACCTAACCTCAAAAACGCTAACCAATTTCATTAGAAGCGCAGCGATGAGTGTACCACTCCGAAATTTTGTCGATATATTTGTAAAAATAACATGGGTAGACACCCTCAAAATATCGGAAAAAATAAAAATTTCATTAAATTTAATATTTATGTATACTGGATGGAAAATCAAATAATGTAAGGACATTTTTAATAATAGGACATATGCTTCTTAAGATAAACACTAAATGTTCTGTTAGAGTGATGTTCGTTTCAGAGTTCTGTCACTTGAAACAAGTATGTATTTTTAATTTTTTTGTATGTAGGTATTTAATCCCATAACTTTACTGGCTTAGTTTTCAAACTTGAAATTGTATTTGCTGCCAAATCTTGTAAAACCGGATCACCCAAAAACGACAAAATCAGACCATCACCAAATAATTTTTTTCCGCAGGAATACCACTGTGCGACGTTGCGTTTTGTATGAAAAAAACGAAATTATGTGAAATTTTGCATTTATGACTTTTACTTTTCCCTCTCTAAGCCGGTCTCAACCGGTTTTTTTTTATCAACTGTCAACCTGCACTAGTAGGCAAAAGAGCCATAGAGGACCAAAGACGAACCGTAAAACTTAATCGAAGCCGAACTGGACCTATGGCTTACAAGGAGATACACTGGCAACTAGCTTAGCGTGAACACCGTTAGGTTTTCTGTCTACCGAATACATGAACAGTTCCACAGTTGCTCTGAACTAATTACTCTCAGCATTTATTTTGGAATGCAATATAAAATTGTAAAGTTTCAACGAAATTGTTTAAGTACTTAGTAAAATTCTCTAAAACATTGCTATACTAACTCAAAATTTAAACTTGCCCTGCTGGGGATTGGAGTTGCCATTGCCCAATGCCAGCTTCAGGCCCAACATTGCCATTTTCTCTGCCTTCAGGTAGTGCTCATCTTCGAATTGACAAAGAAATTTCGGATAGGCATCCGTGCTGATGTCTGCTTCGAGAAAGTTCCACTGCGGTATATCAATGGTGAACGGTTTCGTTGCAATATTAGGAAATCCACTCGATACAACGTCCGATCTTGGCATCACGCCCGAGTCCATATGGCTACCATCACATATGCCGTTCCCCACAACATCAATGTTTGTAATTGATTGCGTCTGTTCCAACAACTCAGGTGTGTTGCAGTTCATTTGTTTAAAATGCTGATCCAGATAATTTCCATAAGAAACATCATTCAAGCCATTTTCTGTTGCGCCACCACAAACGCCATTTGCTACGGAAAGTATCACAACATCAGCGTCGTCCTCGCATTTAGGTACTGCGCTTATGGGCGTGGTTGGTTCGCTCACTCCCCTTAATTGATTTACACTTGTCGTTGATGTCGTTGTTATTGTTTCCGTTGCTGCGGACGGTGCTATTGGCAAATTTTCATCAGCAGCTGATGATGACCCCGTTATTTTCCTGGGGCTGATATCCGGAGACGTGCCAGTGGTGGCACTCGTTGGCGGCGAGATGCTGGTAGGCGTGGTCGCGCCCCCATTCAGACTGGGAAATTTCCCATGGCCCGCCTCAGTTTCGCTGCCCGAAGCAAGCTCATTCTCATTGCCGGCACACTTGAGCAGCGCTTTCGTGAGCTTCTTCTGCGCAGTGTTCGCGCTACGACGAGGCGTAAGAGTTTTAATTTTCACCAAACAAGAGGAACCAGCACCGAAGAGTACATCCGAGTAGAGGGTGCCGGGACGGCAAACTGATGTAGTGTCAACTGGGCTAACATAAGTTGCTTTATCGGTGATCTTCATTGGCGTATTGGGGAATTTTAGCCATGTTGGTGAACGCTTGCGCAGTGATTTCGATTTCTTGCCAGTAACGGAAATGCCGTTGTAACCGGATATTTGCTTCTCCGAACGTTTCCAACTGCCAGACTTTACTTTAGTTGGCGGCTTAAGAGTCGACTTTGAAGTGCTGGGCCCTTCTTTGGGTGCATGGTTGCTACTGCTGCTGTAATTATGGCTGCTGATGCTATTGCTCGGCCTATCCGATGAGTCTTTCGCTGGTGTCTTCAGCAACTCCGAAATAGATTTTTTCGAATCAGTTTTCGAGAGTGAACGCTTACACTTATCCGATTTCTTATTCGGCTTTGGGGAATTCGCTTGTTGTGCCTGATGTGGTTGCTGTCGATTTGAACTACTTGCGTGTTTGCTGCAAATGAAAAGAGCAAAAAAATTTGGCAGCGTTACAGTCTTATCAATTTCATTAGGGACTAACTACGCAACTACTTTTTCGGTTACTTTGAATTTTTTGAGCAAATAAAACCGCTGACCATTTTGGTGAGAAACATTTGCAGTAGAGCTTGGAATTTCTATGCTTTCCAAGCTAATTTATGGGATAATTTTTTTGACAAATCCAATGCAAGTTTATAAAACAAAAAAATTTTAAATGTTGACTGTCGTTATCGACGACAATGGAAGAACTTCTATGAAATAAAAAGGATTGCGATTAACTTAACTCTAAAAGTTAGGATGACTTTGCTGTAGAAACCTAATAAGTGCAGTTTAGGAAATGGTAGTGGGGTAGCGGGGTTCAACAATTTTCGCTTCTGTTACATTTCAGTAATTCTGAACAGACTCATAAATTGTTTACGTTGATGAGCGGCTTGCTTTATTTCCAGTACATTCTATGAGTACTTGGACCAAATCTGTATATGAAAAATACGGCCGCGCTTTGTGTTTGCGATGCCAGGTTGGAAAAATATGTATTTAAAGTTCGCTAATAGACTGAGACCTATGTACAGATATGTAGTAGTTAGTAGAGCTCTTGAAATTGTTCGAATAATTCGATTATTCGAATATTCGAACGTTCGAATGGCAATTGTTTGTACGATTGGAAATCGAATGTTACTATTCGAATAGTTGATTCTCTTCGATTATTCGAATAGTCGCAAAGCTACGATTATTCGAATACCTTCTTAAAATCGAATATTCGATCGTTGTAATAAGTGTTATTTGTCAAAAAAAAAATAAGAAGTTATAAATTTTGTGTGTTTTTGTGAACATGAGTGCAAGAAAACTAAGTTGGGTGTGGAGTTTTTTTACGAAATGCAGTGATGGTAAGCAAGTTACCTGCTCCATTTGTGGAGCAGTCCTTAGTTTCCACCACTCCACTTCCTCGCTAAGCACTCACTTGAAACAAGTCCATAAGAAGGAACCGATTCGTGGTGGTGGCATGTAAGTACAAATAAAGAAAAATATAAGTTATAAGTAAAATATAGAGCACAAGCTTGTTACACATATGTAGAACACCGGACACGAATATCGATGCAACAAGTGGTGAATGCGTTGAAACGCAGGCGAGCACCTCGGGTGGCCGTAAGAGAAAAAAGCACGACACCGTTCATGACTGCACATTAGAACGTCAGGAATTGATATCTCGTGGAGTGGCACGCCTAATCGCAAGTAACATGTTTCCAATCTCTTTCGTTTCCTCTGAAGGCTTTCGCGACTTTATGAAGTTATTGGAACCAGGGTACAAAGTTCCCTCTCAACAAAGTATACTCTCACGCTTACAATTGTTTTATAATGACGTAAGAGAAAAAATTGCAAACGATTTGGCGGAGGTAGAAAGCGCATCAATTTCAGTGGACGAATGGACATCAAGAACTCAAGATTGTTTTTTATCAGTCGAAGCCCAGTATATTGACAAAAATAGTGAATTGTGGAAAGTTACACTTTGTAACGAGCAAATAGAAGGTAAATCTATTAAAATAACTACCTTGTATGTAGATATATAAAATAAACACATACACTCATACATACATGCATAATTTGTGTTTTAATTTTAAGACATGTCAATTGTTTAAATAATTTGTATTTATAGACCGACCAAATGTAGAAAACATTGCATCGGCAATAGAAGTAGTTTTAGCCGATTGGAACATTTCCGATAAAACGCAAGCGATAACGCACGACAGTGCATCAGTCATGAATGCAGCAGGGCAACAACTTTTTAATATAGGGGACAGCATCAAGTGCAGCGCTCACCTTTTGCAGCTTGTGATAAAAGACGCATTAGCAGCTGTACCTGATTACGATAAAATTTGCAAAAAAGGACGAAATTTAACAGCACATTTTCATCGCTCAAATATTGGCAAAACTGCACTAGTAAACCGCCAAGTACAGTTGGGGATAAAGGAAAATCGACTCATACAATGCTGCGAAACACGTTGGAGCTCCAAATATTACATGTGTGAGAGGCTGCTTTTGAATCGAAATGCAATATGCCTAGTTTTTCATATAAAACCGTTACAAAAACTTGCGATGCGCTGAGGCTAGAAATGCAA